ATTTAATAAATGGGGGAAGCGATTAATGGGTGCCACATTATAATAAGGACCCAAAAAGGGACCATAATTTTGACAACCACCTATGTTAGCAACTCAAGACCGACAACCGTAAAGATTTTGCCCACGACAGCCCCCAAAACCTCAGACAGACCTAAACCCACAAACCCAAAACCCTGAATCCTACAAGCATCAAAGTAACCGGAACCCTTAAGCCTAAGCCGTAAAAGCCTAAAAGTTCAAACCTAAACCCTAAACCCTGAACCTTAAATCCTGAAAGTCAAAAAACCGGAAAGCAACAAGGTAACCTGAACCCTAAGCGGCCCGAAACAAGGATCATCAGCAGGAACCCGAAACACTAAACCCTGAACAATAAACCCTGAATCCTTCAAAAGGATCATCAGCAAGCTAAACCCCAAAAACCCAAAAGTTGAACCCTACACCCTAAACCCTAACACCCTATTCTAATACATTATTCAGGCCCCCTACACTATCCTTATAGTACAACTTAGAGTATCCCTTCAAAGGATCATCATCAGGCACCCTAAACCCTACACCCTGAACCCTAAACCCAAAACTCTGAACCCTAAACCCTGAACCCTAAACCCTAAACTCTGAACCCTAAACCCTAAACCCTTTAAAAAGGATCATCAGCAGGCCCGAAGGATGGATCACGGAGACGCTCTCCACGCCCTCGGCGGCCCTGAGCGCGCGCTCCGTAAGGAGGCCACCTCCCAGGATGCTCCCGTAAGGGAGCCCTTAGAGGATTCCCTTAAGGGTTAGGGTTTAGGGTTTAGGGTTTAGGGTTTAGGGTTTAGGGTTTTGGGTTTAGGGTTTAGGGTTTAGAGTAAGGATTCCCTTAAGGGTTGCTGTGTTCCTTTAAGGGGGTTTAGGGCGTTTAGGGTTTAGGGTCTGGTCGCGAAGACAGAATGCATACAGAAATATGAGGTTTAGGGTTTAGGGTTCAGGGTTTTGGGTTTAGGGCTTAGGGTGTGTGTATACATATACATATATACATATGTGCATATATATATATATATAGGTGCATAAATACGTCTCTCGTACACACATGCCGTTCATGTAAACACATGCATTCCACATACCAGACACGGTACCTATGGTATCTATTTCACACAGCAGAGTGTCTTGGTCCGAATCTGGTCAAATGCTAAGGGCCTCAACGTTTGGAATGGGGTTTGGAGGTATAATCTGACACGAACACATTGAGATGATAAGAGGGTGGTATTTCTGTTCGTTCCGACATCTGCACCATGCTGGAAAGCCTCACCCTGTCAAGGCCGGTGATCATGCATGTCTTCCCACTTCAAACCCTAAATTCATAACCCTAAATCCACACGACCCTCTAAACACACAACAGCTGAACCCTCAATCAGAGACCACACGCAACAAAACTAGAACAAACAGCCTGATAGTTCTGCCTTGCAACTAGAGTCGGGTTCGGGATTTTGCCATATGATTGGAATAAGCATCGGGGATATTAGGTACTCTTACGAAAATGAGGAACCCCAGGGAGTAGTGACACTACTTCTTCAGGCCCCTATCATCCAGTAGAACCACTAGCTCGGTAGCCTCTTACTGCCCCAATAGGCCAGGGAAATAAAAGGTTAAACTTTAAGGTTACTACTAAATTATAAGAACCCAAAAAGTTTAAAGGTTGGGCATTGGGGAACTAAGGCCTTCGGAGTCTTCAGCCATAAACTTACCGTTGAACTTCTCCTTTGGGATGCCGCTTGATCCGGTGCCCACGGTGAGCGCCGGCGAGAGGATGCTGTCGTCCTCTAGCTCCTCCAGGCTCCAGGGGGCCTTAACAACTAGAGTAAGGTTTTGGGACCCATTATGCTAGAGTTATAGTAAGGAATACCCAAAAATAGTATAGGTAATTAGTAAGGCTCCTGTATTATGCATGTCTTTTTTTTGGTAAGTGCAGTGATCAGGGCTTTGCGGGGGTGGAGCCGACAGCCGATTTGGGGTCCCGATTTCTGCAAACCGCCTGATTTCCACTAAACATATTATAGAAAACGAAGTATTTTCCCCTACAAGTATGTTTAGCGTTAACCGCAGATTTCCGGGGTGGTTCATGCATTCCGTCATGTTCAGAGCCATCAGCGAGTCTGGAGCTGCAGGGTCCTGCAGTACTCGATTTTCGTTTCCTACTCCACTTCTTCGAAGATATAACCCTGCCGGGTTTTAGGCTTTGGGGGGTTTAGGTTGCACGGTTTAGGGCTCAGGTCATAAGGTTTTGGGGTTCCTTCACGGTTTTGGGCTTCCTTTTTCCTTTAGCAACCCGGTAACTCTTCTGTCTGCTTTGTCACAAATAATCTCCTGCCCCAAAGCGGACGGCAATGAGAAGAAGAGCGGCCCACAATAGTTAAAGCCTGGCAGCAGCTGTGCGAGAACGTCCGGCATGAACTCCTGAGGGTGCTTGGATAGCAATCACCACAAAATCACTGGTAATGCCACTAATCACACAAACAATAACAATACATTGATCACAGCTAAATAATAGAGTACGTTCATAATGGCTACTACTACTACTACTACTACTACTACTGCGACGGGTACTACACGAATACTACTAAATTACTGCTAATACCAACAGTAACAGTATAATATCAATAATCATATTAATACTAGTACTCGTACTAGCCCATACTTCTCGTTATACCAGTTCCAAAGAAGACACATTTCAACAGCAGTATGACAACAAAAAAACAATGAGCTCCTGAGGGTGCTGGGGATTGGTGAAGAGTGAGGCTGCCTTGGTCAGCTCCTCGTCCTTACTTCCCCAATAGGCCAGGGAAACAAAAGGTTAAACTTTAAGGTTACTACTAAATTATAAGAACCCAAAAAGTTTAAAGGTTGGGTATTGGGGAACTAAGCGTCAGTGGCGAAGAGCGTCGGCATGTAGTTCTCTGTCAGCTTCATCAACGTCCTTACAGTAGGGGGCTCGTAACAAGGGTCTTTGTAAGGGCTCATCCAGTATCCTTCAGGGTTTTGACAGGGGCTTTTAATGCAGGGGCACAAGTAACAACCCAGAAACTCATAGCCCTGAAACTGAGCATCTCCACAGAGCCTTACCCTTATAGAAAGCTTTGCAGTAACCTTTAAAGTCATGCCAAAACTAAATACTAGACCCCAAAGCCCTGAAGCTACCCTGACTGAGCGTCTCCACAGAAGAGGCGTTCTTCGCAAAGGAATCGAAATTCTGGCCTACGGCGATGGCGCAGGAACGCCCTGGGCCTTGCCCTGCATCTGAAACTGCCTGGGCGCATAGTGTTCGTATCATTCTTGCTATTATTACTGCTATGCTTGTTGGTCTTCTTATCTTTGGTTTTTGTACCGTATGTACATATGTGTGTATATACGGATCTATATATTTACATTTACAGCTTCGTAAGTGTATTATGCGATGTTTGGTTCTGCTTTGTTGGCATATACGAGATGCTTCTTGAAGTGGTTACATTGCTGATTAAATTATAGCTTGCTGTGTTGCACGATATTCTGTTACATCATATCATGCTTTGTGATAATACAGTATGCTATACCATATCATTGACTATCATTTTATATCACAGTAAATTCTATTCTGGTTTATGAAAATTTCTGTATCATTCTATACTAAGCCGTTGTTTTGTCATGTTATACTACAGTGTTCTAGCACAATATACTCGTATATTGCTTCAGTATATTACATACTGTTCTGCTGTATTATATCAATGTTAGATTAGACTAAATTACTCCACCCTAAACCCTAAACCCTGATGCTATATTAATGTAGGGGCTTGAACAGTTACAATACTTCTTTTTTTTTTTGGGGGGGGGTCGTTTATAGTATAATGGGCATCAAGACCCTATTCTAATTATCAAGGCCCCTAAACCCTAGACCCTAAAGCGGCCTGGGCGTAGTCCATGGCAATGCTGCAGCGGCCATAATCTTTCGTATATTCGAAGGGCATGTCCTCAGCGTCCAGGATCGAATTCAAAGGGCGTTTAGGATTGAGGGCTAAGGGAGCTTAGGGTTTGGGGAGTTTAGGGTTTAGGGAGTTTTCGGCTTCGGGTTTCGGGATATCTTCTGCATACTTCGAACCGCATTGCCGGAGTCCTCTGCTTCCAGGATCATGACGGGGTAGACCGAATCGGACAAGAACTGCTCCAGCTCAGGTGGAGGCTTTGGTAGCTCGGGTACCGGAATCTTGCTCACGTCCTCTCCGTTCTCCTCCTTTTCCTGGGCTGTTCAGGCACCCACCGGAAGAAGCATAACATACTTATTGGGGTCAGCTATGTTTTCAAACATGAACCCAGATACAAACAGGTAAACTCATATACCACTGAACCCTAAACCCTGAACCCCTAAACCCAAGCAAGTGCGGTCATATAATATAGAAGCCTGAATAATTACCTGTACTTTTTGGGGGCTCCTTCTTTAACTACAGTATGTTGGGCCCCCAAACCTATTCTAATTACTAAGGCCCCTGTATCAGGCCCAAACAGCCAAACCTCTTTGTTGGATCAATCATAGGGGCAGCTCTGAAACCCTAAACCCTAAACCCTAAACCCTAAACCCTAAACCCTAATTAGGGTCCCTTTTAGGATCCTTTTTTCTCGGGTGCCGTACTTTACTGGGAACCTCAACCTCGGAACCTAATCTAGAGAAAATACCAATATCGAACATTGGTTATAGAAGCCGTATAGAAACCCTTTTTGCATAAGATCCCTTGAAGGAACCCTTTAAAGGGACCCGAACTAGAGAACTACCTAAACCCTAAACCCTAAACCCTGAACCCTAAACCCTAAACCCTAAACCCTGAACCCTAAACCTTAAACCCTAAACCCTAAACCCTAAATCCTGAACCCTAAACCTTAAAGCCCTAAACCCTAAACTCTAAACCCTACACCCTAAACCTTACCACTGAACAGCCTCGTTTCGTCCCTCTCCTCTCGTGCCTTCCTGATCTCCGGTTCCGCCTCTGTTCTTGCCTGGATACCATTTCTGGATATAGGGGTTTTCTAGGGCCTTTCTTAAGGTTTTAGGGAGTTTAGGTTTTTCTTTTTAAGGCTTTTTTTTGAGGGGTTTAGGGTTTAGGGTTGCTTCTGGGTATAGGGTTTTAGTTAAGGCCTTTTTGAGGGGTTTAGGGTTTAGGGTTGCTTGTGGATAGAGCTTTTTTGGCTTTTTGAAGGGTTTAGGGTTTGGGGTTGCTTGTGGATATTTTTCCCCTTTTTTTAGGGGTTTAGGGAGTTTAGGGTTTAGGGCTGCTTGTGGATATTCTATTACTCATACAATATAGATGTCACATAATATAAGATATGCTATGATACTATATAGTGATATCAGATATATAACATGATACATGATGTGATATGATGTTATACTGTACAATCTCATATTCCGTTGAAAGGGCCTGGAGCCACTTGTGGAGCTGCACGCGCTCCTTCCGACCGAAGCACGGCACGCGGGTGCCAAGCTGCTTGGAATAGCGGGTAGACGCAGAGGGGCCTTAATAAGTAGAACCTAAACCCTAAACCCTAAGATTTTGGGAACCCTAAGCCCTAAACCTGGGATTAATGTAGGGGCCTCTACTAATTAGAGTAGGGTTTTGGGGTATGTATATATATATATATATATTTACATTTTAATATATATATATATATATACACACACATAAAAACATAATAAGAACCCCCCTTCCCCCCCAAAAAAAAGAGTATCGGTACTTATTCAGACCCCCACATTACCATTGGTACTGATTCAGGCCCAATTAGTAGACGCAGAGTTGCTGAAGGCGACGAACAACGGGCGCGCACTCTTCTGGAAGATGACTCTTGGCGGCGGAGCCTTTCTTGGAGGAAGCGGCTTCAGACAGTGACAGACGGGGGCCACAAGTCTTAGATTATGTTGGCCTGAATAGTTAGAATGTCTTGGTGTTAGGGTTTCTTTTCTCCTACTTTTGTTTTTCCTTTTCTGCCGGCCCCCACATGACGAAGCCTAAGCCCTAAACCCCTTAAATTCGAGTCCGAACCTTCTCCTTCTCTGGCGGTGGGAGCGCCTTCCCAGACAAGCCGCGGCTGCCCAGGTTCTTTAGGACGGATTCCTGGGCTTTGAAGTAACCAGGGAGAAACAAGTATAGACTTGTATTTCATAATGGTTCCTTTAAGGAACACATCCCCCAAAAAAGTATTAAAGTATGGTATTCCAAAGCCCAGATTCCAGGCGAGAGCCACCCACAACCTCTCGAAACTCGCAGTAGGCGCCGTACTCATGGCCCCAAGACACGATAATGTGCGACCACATCGTGTGTTTATCGCCTGGAATCCGGCTGTCAACTGGGGAAAACATGCCCAACATTCCCTCGGCCTCCTCTGCGGGACAGACCAACTTCCCATCGTCAACCATCTGAACAAGGAGGCTGTCTCCGTGAATCATGTACTCATCGATGCGAAGGACACAGAGATCCATTGCTTCGTCACAGACCGGCAAAAGCGTTTCACACATCCCACCTGTGATCCACTCCACGCCCATCAAAGCTTCGGGGGAGGAGGTGAGCGACGGCAGTAAGTAGAACACAATCGTTTTGTTCAGGATTTCCGGTGTCAGTAGCTTTTCGTGGCGTACATTGGCTTTAGGGTCCTTGGGATCATCAGCACAGTAGAACTTGAAGGCGTCCCCGCGCGGATCCAGGAGCAAAATAATCTGCTCCACTTCCTCCAGCGGCTTAGGAGAGCCGCGACGCTTGAAATCTTGGGTTCCCAACTCCAAAATCACCGTTTCCTTGCCACCAGCCATCAGGCTGTCGGTTACCTTCTGCTCCTTCTCCGGCAGCTTTGCTAAACGATCTTGAGCACGTTTGCTGAGCTCCTGGAGAACATCCTCCTCCTTGGCGCCCTGTTCCAAGCCTTCCTTCACCAGCTGGTCCAGCTGTGAGTCCAGCTGCGTGGAGGCCCCGGCACCCATGGCTCAGGTCACCCCTGGGGCTCTGGGACTCACAATTTGAGCTCGGTGCCGGCTGTGAGATGCAAAGAAAGCTGTCCACTGACAAAAATAAAAAGCACTCCTGCCTCAGCGAGGTCAAGTGCCGGCACAAGCACACACATGATAACCGTGAGCCCCTTGAGAGGATGGCCTCAAGCGGATGGTCAGAGCCTGCCGGCAAGCATTCCGTGCGGAGAGTCCCAAGGTTCGGAAGCAGCGTGATGGGTATACACCTGCCTTGGAGTGATGCGCATGCTGTGCCACTAACCGGAAGTCTCATTCAAACACAACCACCCGACAGCCTAGATGCTCAATGAAGCTGCCTTACGTTCGATGATTCTTGGCTGGGCTTGGGACTGCGAGCTAGGGCTTGGCTTTAGGTGTTGGCGCCACAGCGCTTTCTGCTTCAGGCCTGAGGACTTTCGATCTAGGTTGCACGTTCCTCAGCGCGATGCTGCAACTGATGGCAATGGCAATGCTGAGGATGAGGAAACGCGACGGTAATGCATGGTAATGTCATTAAGGTGGAACGTATGAGGCAAATGATGAATGCCAACCACAGCATGCTCCTCACAATGCTGACGATGATGATAACGATGATGACCATGATGATGATGATGATGATGCTGACAATGATGATGATGACATTGATGATGATGATGATGATGATGATGACGTCGATAATGATGATGATGATGATGACGATGATGATGATGATACTAATGATGATAATGAAGATCATGATGATCCTAAACCCTAAAATCTAAACCCTTATGGTGGTGATCTTGCTCAATGGAGCTTTCGGGATACGCGTGGAAGAGTGTGCAGGGCGATGAGCCTGCAGCCGGCGGCCAACCGCTGCTCTGTTGCAAAGCTCCATGTGGGCATGGTCTACAGAAGCTTTCGAAATGGTTTAGGGGCTTGGAGATTAGATGGGTTTAGGGTTTAGGGTTTAGGAATGGTTTAAAAGTTTGGAGATTAGATGGGTTTAGGGTTTAGGGTGGAAATGTTGCTCTGGATAGCATTGCTTGGAATTGGCAGGACCAGCCAGCGGGGAAATGTGTGAGCAAAGCTTGTGCTGGGCTGACCGGGAGATAGCGCGTGAGTCTCTCCGTGCACCACGAACACTGCTTCCCAGCCAACTAGCATGGCTTGGCAAGATTCTGAAGACGTGCAGTCACGTCAGAAATGTGGCTACCGAGCCACATCTAGGGCCTCCAAACCTTACTTATCTGCCACGAAAGATTACCACTCTTTGCAACGCATTTCAGCACGACTGCACGAAGTGCCAATAAGCCCGCCAGCCACGGGTAGGCAAGGCCTGTACCATCAAGCGTGTATGGAAGCACATGACACTGTTTTCTCGCGTGCATTAACACGGATCAGAAGTGATGCAACAAGCTTCCGCCCTCGTCACTGATCGCTGTCGCAATCACCACCTTGACAGATTCACAGCTGCAAGCACCGGGATCCACACCATCTGTTTTTGACGGTTGCAACCCGACCCTTTTAAAATATGATACATATCCTTTTCACAGCCGATTGTCCGGGTGATTCCCCATGCGCAAGATCGCCCTGCAATTCAGGCTCCGACTTCAACGTCAGTGAGAGTCTGTCGGAAGAGCTTCTGGTTGCCGCCCAGGTTGTAATCAAGAACAGCCTGCCAGGAATCATGGGATCTGAAGATTTCGATCCTGAGGACGTCCTACGAAGTCCTACTAAGATCCAGGCGGAAGAAGCGGAGTCTGCAAGACTGAGGCTTGGGTAGCAGCCTGAACCCCAAACCCCGAAAACCTGAACCAAGGGTTGCATGGGTCCACCAGGATTAAGCGAAACTACAGGTGGGGAGTTTAGGGTAGATAGGGCTTCTATCAGGCTTCTATAAGGTATGTAGACCTTCTATAAGGCTCCTATATTGTTTAACTACCCACCTGAAAATGTCCTGGACAGGACTTCATGTCCCCTGCACTACAATGCAACGTGCGTGTGGGTTTAGGGTTTAGGGTTTAGGGTTTAGGGTATGGATCCTTGCCTTGTGCAGCCGCAATGGGTACCTGGAAAGAACACGCAATGCAGGGGCCAAAAGAACTACTTTTCTAGGCTCCCCGGTAGCCCCTTAATAATAAGGGTACCCTGTTTCCTACTATTCGGTTTTAAAAAGAGAACTCAAAAAGAAAAGGGGCAAAAAGGGTCGTATATAGTCTAGTTTAGGCTCACAATAGACCCCTTACTTCCCCAACAGGCCAGGGAAATAAAAGGTTAAACTTTAAGGCTACTACTAAATTATAAGAACCCAAAAACTTGGGTATTGGGGAACTAAGAAACCCGAAGCCCCACTGCAACGGGGCGGGCTCCAATAGCATTCTCCCCAAACTCCTTCGGATACTGTCATCCGGCTTCTTTGCTGGGTACTGTGGAGAGTTGGGGATCACCACCTTACACCCCCCCCCCCTGAAGGATCCCATCAGCTTCCGTGCACCCAGAAAAAGAAACCCTAAGCCCTAAATCCTAAACCCATACCCCTGAGCCCCTTAACCCCGAGATCTCGGGGCACTCGACATGGCGCTTGCACCAAGTGCCAACCTCGTTCTGGGTGTAACCATGGGCCTGTCGTTGGCAACTACTCCTTGAACGTAGTTCCTGCAAGGGTCCCAAAAAGGGCTCCGAAAAGAATTCCTATAAGGGTCCCCAAAAAGGCTTCAAGTCTGCCCTCTCGGCTTCCTGAAAGAATTCCTATACAGGTCCCAAAAAGAGCTCTAAAAGAAGTCCTATTCAGGGTCCCCACAAAGGTTCGAGTTCCGAACGGTTGTCGCAGTCGCGATTAATGCAAAGCCCGGACAGCACGGGGATTGGAAAGGTCTCTGCCATAGCTCCATTGCAACCTCCACCGACTCCCTGTGCCTGACAAAAAAACTAGGAACAGTCCGAAACGGTTTGGTAGCATTCGATGCAACAGACGCGGTCTAGATGGCATCGATGCCTTTTGCAGCGAAGCCGCACAGACTTTGCGATGACCTAAGCCACTAGCTTTCGAACCCATGGCCCATAGACCTTAAAGACTAAATCCTAAACCTGACACAACTAACTACCAGCACTATTACTTAGGGTTCCTTGAGATATTTTCGTATCCACAAGTACACCATAGCATTGTTCTAGTTATGCCGGCCCTTACGATGTGCTCCTGGTCAAACTTCCCAAAGCCTGTGCTCAAACAAAGCACACCTCAAGGAACTCGTCCAAGTAAACCCATTCGACCACATGACCTCGGTGGACCGTTCAAAGTCATGATCATAGTCGTAATCCTAGTGATCATATCATGACTGTGCTTGCTGTGGTTACTAATGCGATTATGATTATGATATGTTTCATTTTAAATGCCATGATCATGATGATACTGACGGTCAGAATGATCATGATGATACTTCAGACCGGATTCGGCCAAAACGAAGGCACAGCCTTTTGGGGAAGTTTGGTATCTCAGCCGGATGCGCAATGCATGCTCCTTTGGCAGCAAGTTGAGTTCCTGTGCAGACGCCAGTCTGAGGTTGCTAGTATGGGTGGGATCCTTATACACCTAATGTAGGGGCCTGAATAGTTCGAATAGGGTTTTGCGGTACATTATAAATTATACTGTAACTATAATAAGGAGCCCCCGAAATGGTATTGGTAACCATGTAGGCCCCCATATTACTAAATCTAAAGGTCGCTAGAATCCCCCTACCAAGCCATTCGAGACCCATACGTAAGCTCTAAACCCTAAACTAACTTTCGAGACAGCTGGGCCAGCTTACGAAGGGCTCCCTCTGCTCTACAACCTGAGAGCCCAAGCGTCGAATCATAACAAGAATTATGGGTTGAGGGTTCAGGGTTTGGGGTTTAGGGTTGAGGGTTCAGGGTTTAGGTTTTAGGTAGCTTCACAACCTGAGACATATATAATTATATAATCAGCGTTTCTTCTACTCACATCTGGACCCGCACGATCCATGTTCAGCACAATCTGCATCGTGGACAGCCAACCGACAACTGAATGCAGCATGTGCCGAGCTGATTGCACAGACCAGGGAGACACCCTCCGAGAGAAAGTTGTAAGTCAGCACTGTGGGGGCCTTAATGTGATAACTAGAATAGGGTTTCGGGGGTGTCAAAACATAAGACAGTAAGTAAAATACGGAGACCGCAGCGATAAGACTAGTAATATTAATTCATAGCTTCGACGGTATTCTTCGGGAGAGTTTAGGGTGCTGGCGGTGCCGGACGTCTGTCATGAGATGCTACCGGCGGCATCAGCAAGCGTAGCAGAAAAGGCCTCAATAAGGGCTCCTTAATAGCAAGGCTAAGTGAAGGTTCCCTATAAAACGGGGAGGGAGAAGGGGGGGGGGGTGCATGCGGGTTCTATAAATGGGAGTTTCCGAGAACAAGGGCTACATTATCTGGGGGTTCTTATAATAAGGACCCTACTCTTTAGGGTACTATATTAGGGTCCCCTATTTTCGGAAACCCCCATATAATACCAAAGTGTGGTCCTTAAAGTAAGGATCCTATTACTTAGGGTACGATATTAGGGTCCCCTATTTTCGGAACCCCCAAACCCTAAACCCTAAACCCTAAACCCTATTTTCGGGTTCTATAAATACCAAGCGCTGATTTGTCCAGAACCGAAGCAGTGAAGCCCCGTCCTCCTCATCGTCTGCGTGGAAGTGCTGGTCTGCCTTTTCGCGTGAAAGCCAAGGCTTAGGGTTTAGGGTTTAGGGTTTAGGGTTTAGGGGTTTAGGGTTTCGCCTTGAAATCCCAATACAGAAGAATCATAGAAGAGGAAAGTAGAGAAGCATGGACTAGAATAATGATGAACTAAATGCCCACAACTGAACGGAATCATGAGACATGATCCCGAAACATACTAAAACTGAAAGTAGTCTGAGCTCTGAGCCAGAATCATAAATACGATAAGGAACCCCAAGGAATAGTATTGGTGATTATTCAGGCTCCTATACCAACTAGGCTAAGGTGTAGGGTCTAAGGTTTGTAGGTTTCTAGGGCTGAGGAACTATGGATGTACTGTACTTAAAGGATCATGGGACTTAGTAATTAGGGTCATAAATAAGATAACTATAGTTACACTTAAATATAACTCACATTAAAGGTACTTATAACCTTACTTACTAAGTCCCATGATCCTCCAAGTATGGATGTACCAGCTTGTTTTGGATCGGACAGTAGATGCTCGAAGTAAAGAGAGATATAATGTAGCGGCCTTCATAATTAGAATAGGGTTTTGGCGCCCATTATACTGTAACTATAATAAGGAAGCTCAACCCTAAACCCTAAACCCTAAACCCTAAACCCTAAACCCTAAAGTAGGTAATTATTTAGGCCCCTACATTACCAGGGATATGAGAAGCCTGAGGGGCCTCTTGTGTGGCGAGGAGGGGTTTAGGGTTTCGGGTTTAGGGTTTAGGGTTTAGGGTTTAGGGGGAATGCACCCGACTTTGCATGGAACTTGCACATTGGCCACAGACTCTGAACCCCAAACAAGCCGCAATGCACCCAGCTGGAGCTTGAAGCTCTCAGATCCCGGCATTTCTCAGATGTCTACGAGCCCTAGACCCTAAACCATAAACCCGGGCACTATAAGGGATACCATGGGGGTACCAGAATGTTGCACTCATCTGAGGTTTCTGGGAATCCTCCCCGCTAAATACTGTAGACAGTAGAGGTCTTCATTGGGTACTTGGAGGGTCGGGGGACTTAGTTTTTAATAGACTGATAAGTATCATAACCCAAGTTAGGATTCCTTTCAGGGTTCCTACAAGTCTACTTACTACCTACCTGGGGGTTTCCCAAAATGGGGGACCTTGATATAGCACTCGAAATACCAGGATCCCTATTATAAGGATCCCAAAATAAGGCAGGCCCCTATTTTGGGAAACTCCCACTTCCCAAATCCCCTGACCCTCGAAGTAAGGTCCGTCCCAGGATCCCCGGCGGCAGCACGTATAGCTTGAAAGTCTTCGGCGAGACACATCAGCGCCTGTTTTGGGGTGAGGCTAGGTTTCAGGGGCTGAAGGGGGGTTTTGGGGCTTAGGGTTTGGGGTTTAGGGTTTAGGGGTTTAGTGTTTTGGGGGTGAGGTTAGGTTTCAGGGGTGACGGGGTTTTGGGGGTTTAGGGTTTAGGGTTTCCTGTAGAAACTTGTAGGCTCGTTGTTCAGGGTTTTTCGGGGAAGAACGGGAATGGCAGGTGTGGACTTCTGGCTTTACGTGACCTTTGGAAACCAAGCTTAGGCCTTAGGCAAAAAAAAGCTGGCGCTGGCTGATTCAGGTTCTGCCGCTCTGCCTTTTGCCATCTCCACCACGCAACGTCTCTTGAAAGGACCTCACAGTGGTGTGAGCCTAGGCCTTTTGAGGGGGAGGGCCCTTCTGAATATTCTCCTCCAAGTTGGATGTGATGGATAAAGCTGTTGCATGTCGGAAGCTCCCTTTCAGTGCCTGTCTCAGTGTCAGCTGCGGCGAGGATCTGATGCTTTTCAGTTGTCCGGGATCTGCAAAAATGCCAGCCAGCCACATGTCCATGAACCGGGGTTTGGAGTTCTAGATCACTTTGGCGTGCTGCTTTTGCCGACGTTCACCGGCGAGCTCCTTGCGGAGTAGAGCCAAGTATGTGAGGTACAGGAAAAGCAGACATCCTTCTGCTGCGGTGGCACCATCTACAAAGCTTGAGCCTTGTGCCAGCTTCTGGCGTAAGACCAAAGTACTTCCAAGAATGCCAATCACGAGCTGTACATGCCCGCAGATGCGGGTACATTGAAAGACGAAGTTGGACTTCGCCCCGCCAAAGTACGCGTACAGGAAGACATGCATGAGAACATTCGCGAGGAGGAAGACAGCCCCACTAGCAGACCTGTAGGTCCACACTAGCCACGCCAGGCACGGCGTGGTGGTGTGGTGCACAATGAAATGGAGATTTGGCTGAATGCCCATCAAGGACACAAAGATTATGTCCAGGAACTCCCATGCCTTCGAATAAAAGTAAACGCCGAAGATCATGTCGACCTCTCCTCTCCGAGGGAGGTTTGCACTCCAAGATTCCCCCTGCAAAAGCTCCGGAAGAAGCACAGCCCCGGCCCATGGTACGAAGAGAAGACTCGCACATGCGTAGCCAGAGTTGTTGAGCTGTGCCAGCTTCTTTCCGATCCTAGGACAGCTGCCACGAATCCAACGGAGGGCTGGGACCATGGAAATGAAGAAGCATGTCTCAGCGACGAGAAAGGAGAGCGAGGGCGGCATTGCAAACCCAAAGGCAGCCAACGCTTCGATTAAACCTAGCTGAGCTCTAGTGCTTCATGCAAAGACACACTTGCAAAAACTTTCTCTTCTGTTGTCGCACCGTGGGTTCACAGAAGCAGACTACTATAGCGGCCCTAAAAATTAGCATAGGGTTTTGGGGCCCATTAGACTACAACTATAACGAGAAACCCCCCAAAAATAGAATTGGTAATGGTTTAGGCCCGTACATTACAGGTTCAATGCGTCATGTTTCTTGACGGTAGAAGTAGAGCGGCGATCGGGGCATTCGCCGGCTGTTGATGTGGCGACATGGGAAATCCCATGTCCGGCCTCGCGTTTTCTTCCGGTATTCTGTTGTATTCCATCCTGCTCCTAGTACAACAACATAAAATATGACATACTATCATCTAAGATAATACAACATAGTGTAACATAACGTAATATAGCATCATATAAATGTAATAGAATAGAAGAATAGAAGAACAAAGTAGAATAGACTAAGAATAAGAATAAGAATAAGAATACAATAATGGAATAATAGAATGGAGTACAGCACAATATTACATAATATAGGGGCCTTGTTTTCTCTAGCTATAATAAGGAACCCCCCCCCCCCCAATAGTATAGGTAATGATTTAGGCC